CTCATCTGTGACACCACGATGGTGGAACGAGCGACCACACGCCATCAGAGCAGGGGCGTCCCTCTCTAACTTCAAGAAGCTCTTGAAAACTCATCTCTTCCAAGAACACTTCCTCTTATAAACACCTCTAACCTCTAACCTGCACTTCCTGTGCTCTTCTTCTTCTTCTATCCCCTACAACGATCTTGTATTGATTGCACTTTTTGTTTTGATTGCACTTTTTGCTAACTCTTAATTCCTTCCCTAGGTATCTACCCCATTGATGTGATATGTACTATGAGCTCTTACTAGTATTGCTGCACTTACTAGTATTTACGGTCAGTTGTAGATCTGTAGTTGATGCTCTGTTGATGCTTGTATGTTGTTCCTCAAATGTAAGTCACTTTGGATAAAAGCGTCTGCCAAATGAGTAAATGTAAATGTATTTAGGGTTCTGGCCATCCTACTCCAGACACACTTTTCAACTTACGATTATCGGGACTCTATTGTTCAGAAGTTTACATATTTTATCCAGATGAACACCTGCTCTTATAATATGGAAAACTTTTCTGTTAAATCCCTCTAAATGCTTTTGTTTTGTCACCTTGCTCCTATTCAACATAAGCACAATGGCATTTCATTCATTTCCAACAAGCATACGCAGCGGCATTTTTCTGGAATATTTTTGTTGTTGGAGTTGATCAATGAAAGTGCTTTCGTCACATTCATGTAGATATGACAATTTATCAATAAACACAAACGGTCAAATACCAGGATGTCTAATATCTAAATAAGGGCCAGTCTTCAACTCTAGTGTCTGAAATTGGACCTTAAATGGCCCGAGGAACAAACCTAACAAACAAAACAGAATTATTGCCACTGCTCACAGTGGTAGATTACCAGTGTTAATCAGTTGCTAGGTTAATCCTTGAGCAAGAGGTGCCAAAACATGCCCAGATTCATCGTCCTGCAATTAAAATGTCTTAGACTAAAGTGTCCAAGAAATGTCATGTATTGTCCTCTTGCTAGTAGCTTCCATGCTGGCCTAAAGCAGCCATGAGTCAGCCAGAGGCAGCCCCCTGCCTCATGCTGAAATCAGAGAAACCACAAGAATGTAACAGCTTCTGTTATTATCCCTCCCTGCTGCCTCGCTGCCTGATAGGCTGCCCGTTTCTCTCTCACACAATCTAGTTCTCATGTTCTCTCTCTCCTCTCGTTCTCATCTCTGACACACAGATTCTCTCAGGGTATGGTTGTCCATTTAGCTCGCTTTCTTTCTATCTGCCTGCACAGATGCTGTATATAAGCACACACACACACACACAGGACCTGACAGTGCAAAATCACAAAGACTGCAATTTGTTTTTCCTACAGAGAATTGCTGCAAAGCCAGGGCCATCAGACACGCAGAAACATCTAGACAAATGCCCACAGGAAAATCAAGCTGATACAGTCCATAACTAGCCAGCAGACACATGGTAAAATTCCATTCCATTGTATGTTCATATTAAAACACTGACTATTAAATAACTTTTACAATTTCGCCAACCTGCACCAGGTTACAGGACCTTACACACACACACACACACTTCACATAAAGGTAAAATAGATCGATTGATTGAAAGACTGTCCGTTACATTGCCCTATCTTTCTGCAACTCTCTGCTAACATTAGAATGAGTTGCTCTTTACTTAAATTGTACCAATCCAAAGCAACACTTAAATGCATCTTTAGCACCACGCCTTCATATACTTCCTGTTTTAGTCACATTACAGATCAATGCTTTATAAAAGACATCGAAAATGTACAAAACAGTTACTTAAAGGTCAAATACTGACATAGTTAAAAGAAAATGTTTGACAAAATAAAGCCAAAAATATTTGTCCACAGTTTAGAGCTGCGGGAAGTTGCATATATAATCTTTACTTTTGTACACTTCAGACATTTAATGTGTTACAGAACTCAGACAGCTCCTCTGAAAACTGGTGATAACCATCCTGTGGTCAGGTTCGGCCTTTCCTCTGCAATTTTCCCTTCTCTGCCACTGTGAACAGGCGGATGTCTGCTGGTCTTATTCTCACACCAAAGACAGACAGTGACAGAGGCTGTTGTAGAAATAACTACAAATTGAGTATGTGTGCCATTTTAAAAAGCTAACAAGTTAGCCAGTAGGCCAACCACGTTTTCAATCTAAAATCATGTTACATTTCAGCTGTCAACTTAGCCGTCTATAGCTAAAAGATCAATCTAGCTTACGCAGTTAATACCAAACTAAACATAAAGTTAAGACTACATGGGTCCCTGTTTAACACCAATTAGCCATCACCTTGTTAATCAGCTATAGTGCAACATCAGTCCTGTTGTTTTTTCCTGTTTAAGCCAAGCCCTTTTTCAAAAAAGGAATCTGTAACATTACTGGACTCATCTACTAATCTGTTAAAGTGATATTAGTTTCAATCAATCAACCCCAGCCCCCACACACATTTAAGATCTCTCTATTTCCCAGTAATCAATTACACAACTGAGAGGACTAAATAAATGAGCAAAGGGCATTTTTGCACCATCTCTAAGCATGGTTGAAAAAACCCACTAACAGTTCACAGAATGGAGCACTAGAGGTTTCGTACCTACTAGCTGGTTTGTAACTAAATCAGCACCACGAGTACTTGGGACCAGTGTTGGGCAGTAACGCGTTACTGTAATATTATTACTTTTCCCAGTAACTAGTAGTGTAACTTTTCTAAAACAGTAATGTTATTACTAGTTACTAAGGCAAGTAACGCTGCGTTGCTCGTTACTGAACGCACCATCCTTGACGTGAATCCGCAGCTCAGACTTTGTTGTTCATGTCCGCTGATAGCCAAACACTAAAGGAAGAAAGTAGAACGAGGGAGAGAGGCGTTCTTTCCACAGCTGTAAGTAGCTGTTGCCATGGAAAGTACGTTGTCATCTAGTGTAAACTCTGTGCGACCAGCAAAAAGCTTTCAATCGTGAACGTTTCTACATTTGATTTATTGACGCATCTTACTGAAGCAGCACAGCAACGTGAAACTTACAGAAAGAAACTCCAGCAGCTGCTGCCACTGATGCTTGGACTCGTCGGGAGAGAGTGGCGTCAACGTAAAAAAAAAGTTTTGTAACAACTGAAGACTGCTCTTATAAAAACAGGCTACACGTGCAGAAAAAACGCTGTTTAAAAGTCGAGATCTACTTGCTTTATTTTTTTTATTTCAGGCCTAGGCTATATGCTTTGTAAAAACCACACTCCTTGCTGCGGTTATGAATATGATATTAGCTAATAAAGTCGGGAGAGACTGCTTTGTTTGGGGGTGAAGGGGGGTGGTAGTGCAAGCAGTGTTTCCCATAATTAGCCTATAATTAGGATAATTATCAGCGCTGACCGCCAAATATTGATTTCAACTAATTTATTTAATTTGAGGAGCATCTATTCGTGCAGCACCTCCTGAACACCAATGCACAAACCTGTCCAAAGTCTCTGTGGTGTAACCGCTTTTATTATAGCAATGCATAAATGACACTTTAGTAATAGTTTATGTTTAACTAGGCTAAGTTTTAACTTACACACAGCTGGCGCAACCCGGCTGGTGATTTACTGTGAAACAGTTGGGGAAAGGATCGTCCCAGTCCTCAAGATGTGAGTTAAAGTGGAGAAAGGTTAGGCCCAGATGTCAACAAAAGTGTGTGTGTGTGTGTGTGTGTGTGTGTGTGTGTGTGTGTGTGTGTGTGTGTGTGTGTGTGTGTGTTGTTCAGTCATCCAAGCTCATGTGGGTGGACACACCCTCCAAAAAAGCATGCCCATCAGCCTTTGTAACCAGATCTCTTTCCCTCTCGCTGCAATGAATCACATGCACACTGACGACATTTCACAGCCTCCATGCGCTTTCTGCACCTGTATGTTGACTAAAACGGAGGAAATGATGGTTGATGATTACAATCACCTTTGTATTGAACAAGAAGGTCATGTAGACTAGGCTTCAAGACGAGTATGGCTGAAAAGAAAGGAAGGATGGATAGAAAACGAGCCCAGACAGCAAAGAAATTGGAAGCAGTATGAAATAAAAAATAAAAACAGAAGTACGCTACTACTGTCTAGTGTTTTTAGACTGCTCTTTATATTCTTGTTTGAGTTGGATATGAAATCCCTTTGCGTTTCCTCCACAGATCTCCAAGCAAAACAAGCAGCGGATTAAACAAGGTTTGGCAACGTAAACTGTTGATGTTCCAGAAATAACCCCGTCAAGTGTCACACTGCATGTCTGAAAAAGAGGGCAGGAAACTAAAGGTTGAGAAACACGGTAACCGATGTAAAGGTACTTGCTGCTCGTCTTTTAATAGACGATGGAACCAAAATGAAACTCTTTACCGTCACAAACGCTGCTCACTGGTAAAACTGAGTCAATTTTTGAATGGGACAGAAGTATTTGAGGTTGGAAACACATTCTATAACCACTGATGTCACCACTTTTTAGCTTTATGATCATCTAGTTAAACTCTGGGAAATCATTTGCAAACCAGTGTTTTTCTTTAACCCCCAACCGGTCACATTACATCTCAAACGGTGATCAAAAACAATAAGAACCTTGGTAATTCATGAGGGTTGGACACGGCAGAATAAGGAACGCAATCCATTTTTGGTTCTGACACACTGTTCTTAAGCAACTGTGTCCTTTGACCTCCTGAGGTATTAAAGGCTCTTTAAGCAGCTGTTTCAAAGGCAGACCTGAGGATCTGGATCTGAAGCTGACACACACACACAAAGCTCAAGTTGCACAAGCAGCAGGTTATAATGGGCACATGGCAAAAGGTCTACAACACTTTGCTGAGCAAATCGCAACACACTTCTTCGAAACAGTAATGTAATATATATATATAGGGCACATGTCGCTGTGTATGCATTTTTGGGGGTAGTGGGAAGGATGATAGCAAGGGAAAGGACAAGACAAAACACGCACTGGGGCATAACTCCTGAGAAGAGTCAGGAGCCAGCTGCACTCACATACCTGAGGGGTGTAAAGGTGGGGGTGGGGCTGCAGCGGAGACGAGTCCTTTCTTTCAGAAGAAAAATGTTGAGGTATAAACATGAAATCCAGCAGATATTCTACAACAACAGAATGACATGCAGTGGTGGTCAGGAAGGACTGAGCCCATCACATTGTCAGACAGTCAGTCTGCGTCTGAGAGACCTGCTCTGGTTATAGACACTTCTTCATATCTGGACTAAACTCTAACTACATTTCTGTAAACTGAAGCGCAGGTGGCTCAGTTGGTGGAGTGCACCGCTCCATGTGCAAAGCTTGGTCTGTTTAGCTGCGCCCACAAGTTCGATTCCAGCCAGGGGCCTTTTGCAGCACGTCGTCCCCTCTCATTTCCTACTGTCCTATCCCAATAAATGCCCCCCACCAAAATATAAAAAAAATTTAAATATCTTCATATAAATAAAAAAATAAACTCTGTGGCTCAATTCAACAGACGACTTCCCCGAAAGTCAAATATAATTAAATCACTCTCTGAGCAGCTTGTCAACATACCAGAGCCAGGGGGAGTGGTCACACACACACACACATACTCAACACTGACAGTGGTGCAGCAAGAAATAAAAATAAATCACCATATCAATATCAATTATCAGTTACACAAAACAATCACATTCAACATCAGCTGCATTTTCATTTGCTTTGCTGTGGTTTGCACAGACGTTTAGCATTTTAACACATCCGTCATGGCTGCTTTCCGCATACTGCATCACATCAGTGTGTTACTGACAAACAAACAAATGTATGCGACTGTAACAAACCCAATATGCCTACAGTTCAATGATGTGATTACCAACCAGCTCCCCAGGAGCTCATCAGTACTTTGGTTCTGACTGATCGGTAATCACCAATCATTTAAAACTGGTTCTTAGTACCAATCCCCTGAAGACTTCAGAGGTCTGGATGGATCAGCAGAGGTCAAAGTGAGACTGAAGAACAAGTTGAGGAAAATAGGGGACTGAAAGGAACTGAGCATCTGTTGAAAGGCTGAATGCATTCAAACTGGGAATAGACAGGTACGTTTGTTGTTTTTTTTATTACTAGTTGTAGGCAGTGATCATCGATCAACAAAAGAAAGAACTGTTAATGAGGCACATTTTAATCATCAATTATCATCTGTTGTCCCTGGCCAGATGTTAAAACTGCACCCTGGATCCATTAACAAGAACAAATAATAATATTAATTCTAATAACTACTGAAATTACTGATTTAGTTCATTATTGACGAAAAGCATCAGAGGAATTACATTTTGTTTGTTCTTGAAGCGCAAATACAGCTACACGTTCCAAAATGGTCCCACATTGCCATCTCTGCATTTATGCACCCCTTCCCCGGTGACCAACAATGATCATGTTAATCCTTTAATGTTGTGCTGTCTTAATCCAACCTCTGCAAGGCTAGCTAAGTTGATCTCACAGCCCCTAAACTATAATCGAGCTAGTTTTATCTCCTGGCTCTGTTGGCATAATCTACCCCGGCATTTTTCGGGAAACTGGGTTAGAGCACACAAGTGACTCATAATAGGGCAGATACTGATGATGATTTACAACACATATCTAGAGCCGCTATTAATTTTGCCATGGCTTACAGGCTTGTTGGACAGTGGAGTAAAAAGTAAATCTCTCTCAGAAAAATCAAACATTTAGCGGTACTACATGGTGGAGTATTGCTTCAAAGTCAATGATGAAATGTGTGTTTGACTTGTTAGGGCCATTACAGCAATATGGGATCATTCGATATGATTTCTGCTACACTTTATAATAAGGGTGTGAAAAATATTACAAAAATATTCTCTCTGGTGTTGCGGTCTAAATCCTGCATGCCTGAATGTAACTGGTGATTCAAAGCATTTATGCTGTGTGTATGTGTGTAAGTGTGTGTGTGTGTGTGCGTAAGTGTGTGTGTGCGTAAGAAGGGGGTCCGTCCCCAGCACCTCTCGCTGGCTGAATAACATGCTGTTTGAGCTAATCAAACCATTATGACTGCCCACTAACTGAGAACACCATTAGCATAATATGCAGTTTCATCTGATTAGTTATGCATGATCCAGATACGCCAACGCACGACAGAGAGAGAGGGAGAGAGCGTGCGAGACGGGGAGGGGATGGAAGAGGTGACCCTGATCTGACAGTAATACATCTAAAATAAAAGCTTTAAATGGAACAGAATGGGAACAAAAAAAACACTACAAACTCACTTTCCATGAAAAGGCATTACTGAGTAAAATGCTCCATGGTCACAAAACTCCTTAGAACAGCCTTACATAAGCATGGAGAATCACTCATCTATAGGACTACTGTCGAACTATGAATTAATAAGGCTTTTCCCTGCTAGAACTGAATCCTTCTACACCCAATTCACAGTGCCACTGTTATTTTTGTCCCAGTGTTCACAGGCAGAAAATAATTATTTTTAGTCTGAGCTTAAAACTTATATAAACAGGTAAGTCTTCTCCTCTGTTTTCTGAATTACATTGTGACGACAACGCTAAAAGCCTGACAGAGGCGTCCACATTATGCTATTATTCTTTACTACCAATGTGTCACTATTAATATGGCACTACTAGCTTTCCATTTTGGAAGTCTAGATCTGTCAAGGCACCTTCGTCCTGGCGTTCTGTAGCTGTGGTATCTTGCAAAGAATAAACACAGCTGTGTTTGGGGCTTGGGAGATGATTTTTTGGCTAAAGAGTTGTGCCATGTCCGCCCCAGCAACAGACCACTAGCTAGCTGCCTTTATGAGAGCGATCTGGCTGGATATTTATGTGAATTTATTTATGTGTTTGGCTGGTTCGCTTAAGGACTGCCAGTCAGACGGACTGAAAAGAACTGTAGCTCAGGACAATGACGTGATCTGAGAGCGCTACCAGCCCATGCAATGTTAGGCAAATCTGTATTTACGCCAGCATGTGCCAAATTAGGCATATTTGTGAATGTATGGCGATCGTGCCTCAACAACAAGTCTCCAGTAATTTGGCAGCAGTTAGGTTGGTGTGCAGCGATCAGTGGCTCTGCTTACTACGCTTCCCAACTGCAAACAGGACTGTGAACTTTTATAATAGAACGGGCAGGCAGCTGGTCCCCTTGGCTAAACATGAACAGGCTGATCTTTGAGAGGGCTGATACTAAACGTCACCAGAGGTCACAGGCAGCCTGCTCACATTCAAAGAGGAGGAAGTAATGAGGGATCTTAGAAGGTAAGTACCACATAATTTGAAACATGCACAAGCATGAGTTTTAATACTCAAGTCATTTATTTGTGTATAGAACAGCAACTTAGTGGCACTACATTGACAGAGGGAAAGAAATTACATTATGGTGACAGAAGTTCATTAAAACTAAGTCTTTTTTCAAAGCTCTTCTGGCAATGAATCCAAGCTTACCAATGTAAAATACGCAAACGCAAACATCTTAGAAGCCTGATAATGTATCTTGGCTGCAGCACACCAGCCAGCAATCTTCCTACCAACACTGTCAGTTAGCACCAATACTAAGCTGTCAGCACTACTGAGCACCATGCTGTGCGGTAGGGTGTGTCTCTCTAACACTGACAGAAAACAGACACAAGGTGTCAGAAAAAGATAGAGAGAAAAAGCACAAGTTCCTCACAGCAAAGAGGTGAGAGGCTAGCGAGAAAGTCACAGAGGCAGCAGCTGAAGCTCAGGGTGCATAAATATGACAAACTCCTGGACTGACACAATTATGAGACAAAACAGAAACAGGAGTAAATTCCAATACATCTTACAAACATAAGGAAATGGTATTTGGTCTAATGGCTGTTGCACTATCCTCCTTGCACGAAACAGAGGAGCTTCAGGCACATAGTGTCCTACACATTCTCTAACGGTCTGTGCTCCTAGCCCATCCCACAGTGTATACACATCGCAGCCTTTCAAACAGGCAAGAACAATGGTAGACCTTTGACTTCTTTGCAATGTGGGCTGGTTTATGATGTGTAACCAGGAAGCTGTCATCTTCATGCATCTTCTCTACGGGCACCAGCCAAACCTGTGGAGACACATCTGCAAAAACAGCATGATGCTAAATTGGTGGTGAGAGGTCTGAGCATTAAAGATATAGTGCTAGCTGTAAAAAAAATAATTATTCTGCACTCTTCCTCAATTAATAGCTTCTTCAGATCCAATCGAAACAATAGAATATCACAGAGTGATGGATAAAGAAGAAATTCTTTGCAAAGCTCTAAAGCTAAGCTCATGGTGGTCTTTATGTCAAGCTGCAGGCAATGTTGACAAACAGCTTCTCAAATACACATACATATCTTACAGGCCAGCAAGACTGAGAATGATTTCAACTTAAGTGAAGACAGCAGTTTTGGCTATTGTTAACCAAAACAATGAGGATGAGTTTGACTCATCCTCATTGTTTTGGAAATAAACATAAGGGTACATTACAATTTGCCTCTCCATCATAGCCACAGTTAAATTTAAGCAAGCTGCCTTGGGATATAATGATACTGCCTAGGTAACTTGCTCCCATGGGATCCCCCGCCCTGCCCTCTGTTAGCAGGTGCAGTTTATCTCCCTTACCCATGCCACACCTGTGCCCCCTCTGTCTTCCAATATCCATATCCTCTCCTCACTTCTTCCCTTCGCTTTTAACTATCTGTTTTCTCTCTCCGTCTCACACACACACTTCTGCTGTACACCCTTTGGATGGCAAATTCCGCTGCTCAAGTGAACCAGGGCCATTGCCACAGGCAATTAAATCTTCACCAGCTGAGTCCATCCACTCTTAAAACTCAGGATGTCTTCAGGTTTGGGCAGAGCAAAAGGAGCTGAAATTGAAAGTTCACTCCGGGGTTTCTCCTCTGCACACCATGTATGCATTTGTAGCATGCATAGAAATGATCAGACTGCATGTCACAAAACCTATGAAAACAAACTTTGCGCAGCCTTATTTAGTCATGTTTATGCGCCAACAGCGTTACAGCACAGCCTCCAATCCTAATGTATGTTTCAGCTATCAGAGATGAGATGTGCAGGATTGCAAAATAATCCTGACTACCACAGCTTTAACATATAATACGGCGGCAATCAACAGCGCATAATGGTGTCCCACATAAAAATGTGCAACACGGCAGGCCTAATTCCCAAGATAAGTCGTTCAGCTTTGGTAACCATCAGCCTCTGACAGGGGTTCCCAAACATATTCAGGTCAAGACCAACCATAAACATTAGGTCAGAGACACCCATTTTTTTGAGCCCCATCTGCTAAATTGTTTTGTTAATATGGATTCTTTCATAAACGGACACTATTGTAAAAAGCAATTGCTACAGTCAATTATTACAGATTTTTTTATATGTGGGCTCAGGAGTCTGGGGCTTCTGGTGTCCCCTTTTCTGGGGCTTCTGGTGTCCCCTTTTCACAGATCCCTGGAGATTCCCAATGACACTTTGGGGATTGCTGACTTTGGAGAACACTTGGAAAATGAACCCAGCTACTGGATTTAATTCACAATCTCTTCCTTTGCTGTTATCCCATTCAGAAGCAATCGTGGCTCTTAAGTCATTTTGCAGAGCCAGTCAGTGAGGGAGAGCCAGGGGCCAGACAAAACAGGACAGAGCAGCATCCATATGATCTCAGCAGCGGTAGCAGACCGGCAAACAGCAGGAAGCAAAGGAACCGACTGCGACCCAAAAGATGTGGCACGGCTGGTGGAGGATTACGTCATCGACAAAAATGAGGACGCCTCATCACAGCAATCCCTCACATCCATTACTTAACACCACATGGTTAAAATCTCCACCTTTTCGGTCATTTACTTTGCAAAGAAAATGAAATAATGATTGATTCACGGGCCACTGAGTAGGAGCAGGGTCGCAATAAGCAGCTTATCCAGACACAGGCCCTCTCGTGTGACATTTCTAGTATGTGACACGTACGTGAGAGCAGTTTGCAACAACTGGTGCTTCACCGATCACACAGCAATCAATGACAAAAACCCCCGACGTCAATTTGACCTGAAGGATCTGCATTCGCCGTGTGTGACGTTATGTACCGTTGATGACAGAAACGCATCAACTACCTCGACCATTCCCGGCGAAACACGACAACGCAAATCACTTAATAACCATTAATTAATAAGTATTATAACACACGATAAAGGAATGCAACATCCTAACACCGCACTGGTGCCACTGAACGCCAACTGGACTCTGGTCATTAAAGGGCTTATTGTGCGCTGCATGAATTAGCTATGAACGGCCGATTTAACTAAAATTACGAACGTCGACTTCAGGCGAACCTATTAAAGTTGTATTAATTCATCAATTCTTTAAATGCGTAACGTTACCAGTGCTGCGCACACGGGATTAGCTGCTGTATCGCAGCTTACTTTACTTCGCTGCGATACATTGAATGGGCTGAGAAACAGCTAACGTTAGCTAACAAGCTACACAACCACTGGCTATTATTAAATACAATAAAAATACTTTAATTAGGGCTTTCCATTTATTTGTGTAATATCCCACTCAAACATACAAAAGTGTAATAACAAAAAAGGCCCCGTTGGAGAAGCGTTACGGACATGTTATTTTGAAACATTAGCCCTTTTGAGCTGAGTGGGGAGCAACTTGGATAAAAGTGACAGCGCTAAGATAGCTAGCGTTAGCTAACGTCAGCTGGCTGGTAAAACTGGTGGCCTGTGAGTAATGAGTGTCTTTCTTACCGTCATAAACTGCTCCAGGGGCGTCCAGTTTTTAAGGAATATATTGTTTGCTGTATGAGGAAATGGTTTGTGTGGGGGGCTATACAGCCCGAACATCCAAGATCAGTTGACCCGCTGCCGATGAAACCCGAGCATCATCATTATCACCGTCTTCATCAGTACTTGGAGTCCGGCGCTGCTTCACACACATCCATCCAGCAGAGCGGGGCCTCCTCCGGGCTCGACCATGCAACTGGCTCGGCGACGACGGATAATCCACAAGACAGGAGCCCCCGCAGTAACCATTGGCTAGACAAGGCGACTAGCAGTCATTTCAGGTCGAGAGAATGAAAAATATATTCCCACGCAGGCGTAAAAACAAAGACAACGTGATCAGCAAAAGGTTACAAGTGAAAATGTTGGGACTTCAAATCAGAGAATATGCAAATGTTGCGTTTCTGACTTTCCCGACATGAGCGTGTCCGTTGTCGCGAGCGTTCCCTGCCGTCTCTGCAGCTGCTTTGCCTGCCTGCCTACAGCACAGCGGCGATCAGCATTGCGACGTAATGGCGCTAATCGAGCGCGTGGTGGGCGGGGCCACGGGGCGGGAGGCGCGCAGTTTGTTTTTCAGCGCACCCCGCTAGACCCGCTCCAAAATAAAATCTTAAATATCTCCACATTTAGCGGCATTGTGACTCTTAAAAAGAGCATACTGGCAGTGCATGTGTCAGTCAGTCACATGCTGCAGCTCAACATGTGGCCACTGATATCAAGAGTTATGTAACATGTTTACCTTAATATGTACTGAAAATGGATGTATGTGCTCAATAATGTAACAGCACATGTGCCATATGTATAATATATTGCAGAATGTACCAAGTATTATATGTACTGTGAAAAAAAAAAACACATTACCCTAGCTTAAGGCAGTTATTTGCTAATGCATCCCTACCATCTGAATAATGCATTAGGTTTTGTGTTAGGTTGACAATGCAGATTGCATGTATTCTGATATGTATTGCAAAATCCTTCAATATACATTAAATGTATTTGGATGCTCTATTTTTTTTTTTAAAGGCCAAGTGCATTACATAATGATATAATACACTCGTAAAAATAATATAATGTAAAATGGAATGAATATGCTTGAGACTGTAACTTAATGCAATCACAAACACGCACAAACACACACACTTGGATTATATTTGATATTCTATATTTGAATATATTATTACCTTGAATTTCATTTTGAAAAGAGCCCTGACCCTACAGGAGTCTGAATAAAAAATATAAAAAAGAATTTCACTGTATGACAATGAACCTCAAAATTAAGGTAATTATGAAAATGACTTTTCTCCCACTCAAAGTCCAAACCTGCCCATTCAGACTAAATTAATCTGTAGCCCTGTCTTTCATACACACTGTAAAATAAAGATAGTGACAGATTGTGAGAGTGTAAATGTGGGCTGTACTGACCTCAAGTGGAGAGAAAAAAAACATCCTACAATGCAACTGACAATGGACTGTTGTCCAGTCACTCTGTTTGGCATACAATGAAGTAAACCGATGAAGCGGAGTAGCGAGGACAAGACAACAAGCCCAGTGTTGTTGGTACGCATCCCAAAAGCCACTTTGTAGCCGGGGAACTGATGGAGTAGACTTTCAAATTCAGTCATCGCTTTTTTTGTTCTTCATCATCTACTTCTTTTGACAGGGACATTCCTAATCACTTGGATGTACTTACTGATCCCCCCCACCCCCCAACTGTGTTTTCCATATACCTAGTGCTACAGGGATTATTTGGTACAAACAAACTAAAATATTTAGTTCACATATTGGGGAAAGCACTTCTTGATGAAGCAAGTGTCAAAGCCCACAATCTGCTGCATAACCACAGATCTGGAACAAATTCTGCAACTTGCTCAAGGGCACTAATGTGGAGGGGACGCTTTCTGTCAGAGAACCCTGAACCCAAGATGTCCTGATTAAGAACAGTCCCTGCATGCTCTTTATATCACCAGATTTTACACCAGTACTGAACTTTGTTCATCTGCAGACATATGACCTAAAGGATCTTGGGTGCCACTGTATATGATGAGTTCTGAGGAGTCACAATAAACTGCAGATTAAGATTACTATCCCTAAACATTTAGTCAGGATCAGGCAAATGATGATGTTATTTAAAATTTGAATTCATTAATTTTTTTTATAGACATACAGGAAAAAATCTGCATTAACCAGTTCCATTTCATCAAGTATGTACGCACATATGGACAGTCCATTCAACTGCTTCATGGCCTTATGGCTCGCTAGTCCGATCCCAAATCTGCTTTCCTCCATAAGGGTTTTGCCTTTCACTGAGTGAAGATACTGTACATGAGGATACTTAAGATTCTCTAACACAACTCACAATGACTTGCCATTTCTCTGCAGGCAGCGACAAAGAAGCATTCAGCTGAGCAGCCGAACACTTCAAACTCAAGGCCAAACCTTCAAGTCTGTTTGGAAACTCTAACTAACCTGCTTCCCTCGCCATTTTTAAGAAATGACAAACTGATTCTATGGGGAGAAGATGGAAAGGGTTTCAACTTTTGAGATAATAAAACACTGCAATTAAAGAATTTAAAAGCAATGTGTCTTTTTGGAAGCAATGTTTGTAGGAAAACATGCTGCTGTTTAGTTATTTAAATGTTATTTTTCAGTGCTGTGATAAAAAACTTCCAACAACATTTAATTTGCCCTGGCAGAAATCTTGCAGATCTCAAAAACAGGGTGAATAAAAGCTCTGCAGACCTTTTAACCTGAGTGTTTTGCAACACTGATCATTGCTAACTGTAATATCTAGAGACAAGAACAATGACACCTTATTCTGCACGACAAAGACTGTTCAACCATGTCTTTTCAACAACATATATTTCATCACATGCTCCGACAGGCTTCAAAAAGTGTTTATTTGTACATTGGGTCCAGAATAAACCCTCCAAATATTGTCTTTGTTGGACAAATAAGTCACACTGGCCACCAAACATTTCACACCCCAGGACTGACTTATTTGAATAATATAATAGTAATTTGAATGGTTCCACACTTCAAGATTCATAAAATGTTTATTCAACCCATGTGGGATGACATTTTTATATGAAAAATATATTAACAATTCTTTTGGCCAGGGTTTTTTGTGGCAAAAAGCTCAGGAGCCCCTCTATTCAGAGATAATTGAACTTACATTGTATCATTATGGGCTCAGGTGAGGCCCATTGACCTCCATTTTTATTCCCAAAACAACAGTCCACCTCCTATGATTCCTTTTCAAACTTTCTCCTCTTTGAGCAGAGCGAGGATCCCTTCCCTCCTGGATGTGTACGGTGTGTGTTTCAGCTGAAGGAGGTGAGCAGGAAACAAGTTCCCACTGGGAGCGTACATGTCCTCTCCCTGCCGCCCCATGAGGGAGCGCAGCGTCTTGTTTCTGGACAAAATCTTATCGTAAAACTCGACCCCTCCTTGGGCATAATCACGGGACACTCCCGCTGCACGCCGGTCTGAGCTAAAGTCAATCCACTGGCTGACAGCATCCGAGGTGAGGAAGTAGGACACGGCACCAAGCCCCAGCGCCACAACATTCACACCTCCGCGAAACAGCGCAGGCCCGACGTGGAGCCCAAACATCTGCTTTAGCACCACGCTGTACACCCAAACCCCACCCAGACAGAGTGGGGCAACGGCGGCACTCACAACAGGCCCTCCGGACTGCAAGCGGGCCACTTCTCGAGCTATGGCAAACTTCTGGGCCTCAAGGGAAAACACCAGCGCCTCCTTTAGAGCAGAGCCAGCATCGCTGCTCCAGTCCACCGCTTTGCCGTTGATGAAAACGGTGCGGTTTGTGATTCCGCTCGGGTCGTCGACCGTGCTGTTAAAGTTTGCTGGGAGGCCAATTTGGGCCCCTGCAGGAAGCCAAGGGACACCAGCACCAACCGGATGAAACCCAAAGGAGGCGAAGGCAGAAAAATTCTTGGGTGAGCTGATACCATAATCCTTCAGCACCTAAAAATGACAACATTCAAATTAGGATTTTTTTTTCCACTGCACATTTTGACAATCTAGTTTAATGGCGTTACTGTGAATCTACGCTTTGTGAGTGCTGTAATTTATTAAATCAAAATTTATTAAATATCTTTTTTTAAATGCCAATAACCCTGACATAACTGTTGTTGCTCAAATGTAGCGCTTTTCAAAAGTTCAACAGGCGTCATGACATTTGAGTCTTCTATCTCATCTGCAAGTGCCTGCACAAATCTAATTTAGTTTACAAAAAAAGAAAACTCAAATAACACTTCGGCACACACACACCACAGACAATACCTGCTGGAAAAGATCCTCGAGCTTTTCAGACAGAGTGACTGGCTCTCCTTTGTGCCAGGCCTGATAGAGCTGACGGTAGGACTTGTCAGGGAAAACGTGGTAGAACATGTTGGCTGCAAAGACCCCGCCACAGCTCGCAATCAGCAGCGGAGTCCGGTACTTCTGAAGGAGCACTGAGTACTTGAGGAAGCGGGACGCCATGTCACGTTTTTATTTTATTTTTTGATGTTGTGTCAGTTGCTTTTTAGCTGCTGCAGACTTCAGTACGTGGAATCTGTGGAGGAGGCAGACAATACGTTCATGAGAGTACCAACGGGCCTGCACGTCAGAGATATACAGACAGTAATTCTATAGTCGGGAACACTTTGTTGATTTCTCCCTTTTCACCGAGAATAGGTAGAATTTAAGTGTCTTTCTCAAGGACACTTCAGGCAGGGATTCAAACCGTTGATGTCCTGGTGAGGGGACATTCTCTTTAACATCACCTATTCACTTCAGTCCCTGCTCATCATGTCTTCACGGTTAAAGAAGACCAGATAATAACTGACACATTTAACGTCAAAGCATTATGTTACTGTGTGTTCTCGCCATAAATCAGCAAAAATTGAGAGTTATATTCAGGCGATGCTTGGATGTATATATAAACACAACTGAGCATAATATCAGGCTGACTCATATCATCTTGCCTTTTATCAGCAGTGACAAAGTGGGATGTTGGTTTACACAACATTAATAGGCTCAGGACCAGAGTGATTAAAACTGCTCAGAAGATCACAGCTAGTATCTCCCGAGCATCAGTGATATCGGTGAGGTGCCTCCGTAGAGCCCAAAGGATACTAAAGGACCGTACCCACCCTGCCACAGCCTGTTCACCCTGCTGCCTTCTGGGAAGAGATACAGAAGTTTCAGCTGCCGCACCACCAAGCTATCAGACTTTTAAGCTCAAATTCATCTTCAGCACTGCTCCATTAATTATTGTTTATTTCTCTGTTAACATTTTTATAATTGCTTGTGTATTAATGTATATCTGCTATGTCGCAGAAGGGAGTTACAAAACTCAATTTCACTATATAACCTGTTATATTGTGACAAATAAATGTACCTACCTACTATTAATATAATCCTTAAGAGTTGCCCTTTTAATTGTCGATTAATCTGTCAATCATTTTCTCGATTATTTAGTCTATAAAGTGTTCAGTTTCCCAAAGCACAAGAAGAAGTCAAGTTAAATGCCTTGTTTTGGCCACAACCCAAAGATATTCAATTTACTGTCACAGACGAGTAATGAAACCAGAAAATATTTACATTTATAAAGATTAAACTCAAACCGATTAAACAGGTGGGGATTAATTTGACAGTTGACAACAATCCAGTATAATCTTCCTCTTGTTGTTTGGGTTTTAAGTCCAAGCTGAATAGAGGACCATGCACATGTCATTCACATGTCAGTCACAATATTAGCATCATAAGTCGAAGATACTGCAATGTTTGGATTTCCCTGCACTGCCCCAGTACAAGTTAGCCAGGCAGTACATGCAAGTCACATCCTCTAGGCATTTCCAGCCGCTAAAACACACAAAAAAAACGATACTAAAATGTCGCAAAAGTGAAGTTAACCAACTCTACCGCTGCAAACTGACGCACTTTAGCATGAGCTCACTGACCGCAAACACAGCGAGGCTAACAACGACCCGCACTTACTGTCTTCATAAACAAACAAACATGTTTTTACACTCACGCGTTCTGCACATCTGCACAAGGACAGACGAAACACCACTTACAGGCAATCCTGTACCGTAAAGCGATTTTGCTGGCGTCAGGGTTTTGCACGACAGTTGTACGACAGTTTCGAAGTGCCCTGTCTGACAGAGGTGGTAATACTCTGACTGACACACTGTGTTTGGGTGGGATCTCACCTCCCTTATGTATTTAAGCCCTTTGTACAAAAAAACAACACACACACACACACACACTGTATTGTAAACTGTATGCAGACTGAATTTAGGAGCCCTCAATGTCTAAATGTCTAAATCTTCAGATGTTATTTTTATGTTTGAGCATCATATGCTTGTAAAGTTACTGTATACTTGATTGATTTGTACAGTAAAACAGCAGTACTTGGTTAGGATATGATCTTTGAGTTGACTGGAAGTAATTAACTTAATCACTTATGTTCAAGAAATTAGGAGACATTGATTTTTTTGTTTAAATGTGACTTTGAAATACCTAAACTACCTGTCAAACAAGTCTTGTCCCACTGGAAAATGATTAAAAAACTTAATTTTAGTCCACATAACTGTTCTGCTATGGAACAATAGAGTCATAAAAATCTATATTTATGGACAGCTGGATGGAGAAACAAATATGGTCAATTGTACATCTGCTGGATGAAAATGGTAATGTACTTAAATTGTATGAGGTTAAGGATAAAAATGATTTGGATTTCTCCTTGGAAAACTATTCTAAGCTGACACAAAACATACGCATGGCTCTTATTCAGTTAAATAATCTAGAAAACACACCGACACCCAAATTACAAAATATAAAGATAGGCCAAGTTTCTTTTTAAACCAAAAATGTAACAATGCATTCCTGAGGTAATATTTGTTGATTACAATGTACCCTGGCTTTACAATGATGAAGTATTAGCTATTAGAACAAAATATCTAAAATTTCCACTTCTTCCTAAACACAAAGAAATGCAATTTAAAATTCTAAATTGCATTTATCCTTCAAATGATTTAATTAAAACCAGATTTAAATTTCATGTAGATAACGGTCATCTATGCGACACAAATGTAGAAACATCAGAGAACATTTTTTGGTTTGTGACCAAATCCAAAGTTTATGGAAATCCTTATATGACTAACTTCCAAACTCTTTATTTTCTTTCACATCTGTCCAATTAGGTGTGGTCCTAAATAATAAATTGAATTTCTGATCAATAATATCATTATTATTACTATATATATACACAGTCCCATCCCACACCCCATCTTGGAATGCACTTAGAGATGAGCCCTCTATATTGATAAAATCTATTATTTATAACTTGTTAGTTGTGTTACCATGTCTTTTGAGATGACTGTTTTGAATAAGTCCAATGTTCATTACTTACCTAGGAGGTGAATTACATCATGGACTTGAAACATGGTTTGATCTGTACCATAGAGTCTGTCATTGTACCTTGTTTAAATAACTAAAATAAAAAATAAAAAATAGAAAAGTAGTTTCCCTTCACACAGCCTGAAGTGTTTTCAGTGTTTTATTTGATATAATAATGTTTTTCTTTCACAATTATACACAATTATATAAGTGGAACTATTCAAATGTATACTAATAAATAGTAGAAGTAGTTTTATCAAGGCCACCATGCTCAATAAAGTGCAAAGGTTTGAAATGCTAACATGAAGCATATAACATGCTTAGCATGTAACTGTCACTGTCTCTTAAACCAAAAACATGTTGACAACCGAGAGACAAACGTGGCAGAGAAATGCAAGAAGAAAAAGAAAAGATACCTTCAACTATTCCAAAATGTTATCTGCACAGCATTCTTCAACACAAAAACATGTGACTGAGGTACCAACAGGTACCGGGGAGACAGAAGAAAACCACACATAGAAACAGTGATGAAGTGTTTCACTATGTTCAAACTCCCTACTACCGTTTGGAAGTTTTAAGCATATTACATTGCACATGTCTCCAAACATACAATAACCTTTATTCCCTTAGAGGAAATTTAACTTCTTTCTTTTGTGTTCTGTTGCATATACAGTGTTTGTGATCATCATTTGTTTTCTTTCACTCCAAAGTATCCAATTACTTTTGTTGTAGCATTGATGACCCAACCAAAATAAAAACAAGCTCTCCGACTTGATAAAAATAAGAAAAATAAATTGGAGTGATGCGATTCTTTTTTTTTCACTGAATCATTCTCAGTTATCGGTAAAAGAGATTTTCACTGGTAATATCTTCAGCGGGACGTCATTCCAGGTGTTGATGTATGGAAACAGGGTGTCGGTGAAGGTGTGCGTGAAGGTATGTATGACCGCGTTAGTATCTGGATCCCAGAAGGACAGCTCTCCTTTGTTCCTGTCCAGGTGTACTCGGACCCTCTGGAGCCTGCTCTTCAGTGAGAGGACGGACACGGGACTTGACGGGCAGAATGCTGTGAATTTACCATAACAAAACCTCACCATCCATAGCCCTGACATTATGTCCCCAGTCCTGTGGGCATCCTGTGCTATCACACCCAGGCCCCACACTTGATTGTTTCCAACCTCCACATCCCAGCTGTGACTCCCTGAGCGGAGGCCCTCGGATCCCAGGACGCAGTGGTGCTCCTCCATCCTCTCTGGGATCGTCGCAAGAGGCTGCTTCGGTCCATATCTTACACTGGTCAAATCTTCAGAGAGGTGGAGTTCTCTGTGGGCGGTGTTGGGGTTCAGGATCACAGGGGTGTATGTCACTTTATTCTTCATTTTGCACCACACCTTGAAACTTATATTCCCCAGGTATTTGGCAACGTCGATGAGGGCTCCCGCGGCCTGTGTTGGTTCATCCAGCAGGGGGCGCTGAGCTTCTTCCGTTAACGCACTGGCTTTTAATAGGAAAGACGTGTCGTCATCTTTCAGTCCGTCCTCTATGGTTTTAATGGTACTTTCCATGGCCTCTATCTCTCTAGTTAAAAGTGCAATCTTGTCCTTCATCACCCCTCTTTTATGCTCCTCTTCTTTCTTCAGTTCTGCAACCCTGGTCTCTTCCTCCTTCAGCAAAAACTCCTGAAGCACCTTGAACTCCGCTCTAATCTTCGTCTCTGTGTCCCGAGCTTGTTTTCTAATTTCTTCATCGGCTGTCTCGCAGTTTACTTTCACTTCACTGAAGAGTTTCACTTTCGCCCGCAAAGGATCCAGACATCTCTGGAGACCGTTTCTGTAAAGCGGTGCCGCTTCGTCCACGGGTGTAAACCTGTGGTTCCTGTGGAGTTTAGAGTCTCTACAGACGACGCACACAGGTGTCCTGTGGTCCACGCAGAAGAGCTTCAGTTTCTCGGTGTGCAGGCGGCAGACGGTGCCGGACTCCATCTCCAGGAGAAAAGCCTCGCACAGGTTCTTCAACACCAGGTTGCGAGGTGGTTTTTTAGTAGACGACAGAGTCTTGCAAACGGGACAATGACGGGCTCGCTTCGTTCGCCACCATTTCTGCACACAGCCGTGACAGAAGCTGTGGCTGCAAGGAAGAAGGACAGGGTCTTTAAAAGTGTCCTGGCAGACGGGACAGGAGAGCTCTTCACTTGCGACCGACCAGCTGGAAGCCATGTTTCTATGACGCCTCTTTTCTTCTTCTGCTTCTTCTTCTTAGTTAATGGCGGATTGCAAACAACTTTTAAGTGCATACCGCCACCTACTGCACTGGAGTGTGTAACATCATATCACTAAACTACAAACCCCAAGAAGGTGCTCTCATATTCTGTTCCCCAGCCCAGTGTCTTTTAGAAATTTAAATAATGGTGATTCTTATACCCTTTTCTTCTACCCCCATCAGATTCCGTTTCCGCGCTGCCTCCTGAACCCTATCTTGAAATATCTGTCTTTGCAACTCAAACAATATGCAGTGCAAAATGACATGTTCAGCATTTTCTTTAACCCCACAGTTTTCCTTTTCCCCAATAAAAACAAGGTGCCATTCAGTCCTGTGTGATCTTAAATCTTGTCGTTATGATTTCCTCCCTCCTGGTCCTTTGTGTGTCCTTTGCTGTGAAACATTTCTATCAGTATGGAAATATACTGATAGAAATGTTTATATAAATATATGTGTATATAAATATCAGTGTCTTCTCTGACAGATGTCATTGACTGAATGCTTTTAATAACCGCTAAGGAGTCTGTGCACAATATCACCCTATCAGGTCTGACCTCTTCAACCCACTGTAATGCTATGATTTCTGCTGTATATACAGATAGCCTATCTGATAATCGTTTTGAGATATTTATTTTGAATTCTGGTATATGTATTCCAATTACCACACATTCCTGTTTGTTTTTAGATCCATCTGTATAGATTTTTAGATAATTATGGAAACTGTTTCTCAGATAGCTGCTAGTCCGTATCCCCACTTCCTCTAGTCCCCGTCCTCTTTTCTTTTCCAGTATACTAAAATCTGTTTTTACGTCTGGATGGAGCCAAGGTTGAATGTTACTGACTGGATCGGGTGTGGTGAAATCTAATGCTTCCATTCTGTATTTCCTTACTTTCTTTCCCCCGTCCATCCAAACCCATGCCCCCGAAACTTGAAATACTCCCAACAATCCTTTGTTATCTCCTTTGCAGGGTTTTCTTTCCCACTTCTTTTCAATCTGACCCAATATGCTAGCGCTAGTTTCTCTCTTCTTAACTCCAGTGGTGTCTCTCCAGCTTCTATGAGTATTGTGTTAAAGGGAGTTGTCTTAATGGCTCTAATGCATATATATGCAACCATAATCTCTTGATGACCTCATGCATGCTCTATACATGTCAATTAGCGATTGTTTATCTGCACCCCAGTCACACCCAGCCACCGCCCTCAGTAAATTAATAGCTTTATTAGCCATTTAGTTTCCTTTTGCTTTATGAGTGTTTTCCATGTGTACTTAATATCAAACCACAATCCCAAATACTTTTCCATTGGCTGCTGATATAATAAAAGCTTTTCTACATGACACTTGTGAACACCATATAACTTGTTGATTTGCTTGTTGATATTTTAAATCCCCACTTGAATGACCACTTCTCTACTTTCCCTATTGCTTTCCTAATGTTCTCTAACACATATGTCTCATTTCTTCCTCTCATCCATACGGCCCCATCATCTGCATATAACGCTGATTTAATATGTCCATCTAAATCTGAAAATATGTCATTAATCATAATGTTGAATGATATAGGGCTAATTGCGCTCCCCTGGGGAATACCATTATTTACCTTAAACTCTGTAGAAAGTTCTGATCCAACCTTTACTCTAATTTATCTATATGTTAATAAGTCTAATATCCAGTTAGAAATCCTTCCTTCAAAACCCATTCTATTTAGTTTAATAAGTGGTCCTTCCCTCCACATAGTATCATATGCCATCTCAATGTGCAAAATACACTATTATCATCAGCTCTTTCATTTTCAGTGCCTTTTCAATCTCATTACGTACTCTAACAAGAGCATCTGTTGTGGAGCGCCCTTTCCGAAATCCATTTTGCATATTACTCAGTAGTCCTCTCTGTTCCATTACATGTGATAACCTACGAACTATTATCCTCTCCATCCATTTGCATAAGTGAGATGTCAGAGCTATGGGTCTATAATTACCAGATTTGGTTGGGTCTTCACCAGGATTGCTAAATGTAGTATAACTGCACTTTTACAACTTTTCGGTATTATTCCGTCCTTCCATATTTTATTGAACAGTCTTAACACTAGCTTAATTGACTCTACTGGAAACTGTCGGAACATGGCATTAACATAACTGATCTTGTCCTGGGGCTGTATATCCCCTGCCTAGCAGAGCTTTATTGAGTTCTGATATTGTAAAATCCATATCTAAAGTTGTTGTATCATCTTCTTCAGCTTCACGTCCATATTTTCTCTGAGTGCCAGGTCTTTCTGTTGCTTTTGAATATCCATAAGGTGATCACCACTATGCACACCCCCAAAAGCCCTACCCAACATCTCTGCCCTTTTCTTCCTCTGCTTCTTTTTCGTTTTTATTGGCGGTTGGCAAACAACAAATTTGTGCATTACCGCCACCAACTGGTGTGGAGTATGGACCAGAATGACTACAGCCTATTTAGTTGTGTCCACTTACTTCTTCTTTTTAACTCAAAGAGCTCTGACAAGTTTTGGAACATTGATTCATTGTGTTGACTATTTGAGATTTCTGTCAGATATGTGTGTGTTGATTTAACTCAACTGAGTATGTAAGTTATCAGTTTTAAAACAAAAAGGGAGTGTGCAGGGATGGGAGCAACAGAAAGAAAATTGTTCCTTCATCTTTTGAGTTATATACTATACTACTATAGTTATACACCGCAGACAAGTCATGTATTCAAATTCCAACTCAAATATAGACACTTTTGGGGTTAACAAGAAAAGACTAGTGGGTAGGGGGTAGGCCTACACATGTAAAATGAAAAAAAATAAATTTAAATCCTCTCAACTTGAAATGGAAAGTAGAATAAATGTAGTAAAGTTGTTTCAACTTGAAACTGTGAGTTAGAATAATGCAGAAATGTATGTCGGTTAGACAAGATAAGTTTTCTTCACTGATAAAGTAAAATAAGTATTTTTTTAAAGGGGCATTATGGAGTTTTCAGCAGCCACTAGCGGTGCGATTTTAAAAATTGCAACCAGGTGTGGGCTCGTATGTGTGCTCGCTTGAACTCATGAGCGAGCATAATCCAAAACACAACCGCTTTCATACAGAAATCCTGCAATAAACACAGAACGGCTCAGAGGCAGCTCAACACCAGCTCCGTACCTTTTATTCAGCGCAGTGAGACGCATATCGGCACAATACTCCCGTAAAAAAGGCACTGTGACAGCAGCTATAGATAGACAGGGAGACAGCTTCACACAACATGCTGGAGACTCAGGTAAACTCCCACTGCAACGTTACAGTAAAAAAATTTTCAGCTCGAGGTTGAACTAATCCATGCTCGTTACATGATAACAGTACATTTACTGCATTTAGCCGACGTGCTATATTGTTAGCTCGCCTGTCAGCTTTTCAGTAACTATCTTTACTATCTGTGTATCTCACTGAATATTATAACGATTGTTGTCACTCTTTATGACAGTTTGACCACAGCTAAATAATTTTACTGTAGTGTTAGTGGATGGTTCTTCCTCTGTGGTGTTGTCGCCGTTTTGCTGCAGTATTGAAGATTATGTGGGTCACGTTAGTTACAGCGACTGAGAGGTGGAGAAGCTGTGTAAGTTACCTGAGTATAGGTAAAACAACAATAAATCTAAATTGAACGTTATGAAGCAAACAGCTGCAGGTCCAAGCTAATTAGCATTAGCTGGCTGCCCTGCCTGCATCAGTATAGGCTAGTAAACTAATCGCTCCACATGTGTTTTTTACCGTTACATCCTTTCTTGCAGGCTAAATCAATACTTTGACATGATAGTGTTGGTACACAGGATAGTAACATGGGTCACGTTAGTTGGTGAAGTCATGTGGAAAGCGACACGGCGTTAGCCAGCGATCTAACGTGATTCTCTCCGTGTTTCTTCAGATTTTCTGATGTTCACTGTGTTTTTACTCAGTCAATGGAAATTTGATTTACTAATAAGTAATTTAATTGAAAAACTATGAAAGTATGAAGTTCAATCAGCAAATAAAACTTGAAACAACTAGTACACTGTAGTTATATAACTTTATGAACTTTAATTTGTGAGTTGAAACCACAAAGGCAATCTTCAAGTTGAATGAGGTGAACTTGCATTTCCAAGTTAAAATTACTTTAAATGTCTTACAGCGTAGTCCTTACAATATATTAAAAAACAAACAAACAAATGATATTGGTTACTGTAAGATACTGAAATAAGATTCAGTAGCACGCGTCTCATCTCTTTTGCAGAATATCTATTAAATCAAATTGTACATTTTTCAGTCTGAGGTTCTGAATCATCTGCCTTCTTTCTTCCTCATGTTTCTGACAGTGTAACCCATCGTGCTCCACTATTGCTTCTTTCTCACTGTTGTCACATCTCCCTGAATTATGTTTGCCTATTTTGAATAATGTACTGTTAGTACAGTGTGTCCAAATCTAAGCCTTGATATTATTGTCTCGTCTCTTCTGTTCCTTCTTGCACATCTCGTCTCCCACTTTCCTCCAAACTCTAAACTGTAAAACTGTCGTCCTGTCCTCTCTTCCTCCCACTGTTTTTGCCACCTTTCCTACATTCTCTGTTTAATAATGCTCTTGAGTTCTGTTGTACTGAAACTAACTGCCACATCGATGTAATCACTTTTGGTGACCTCCTTTGCAACCTTAGGTGCCATTTCATTTCCTTTGATACTACTTGTCTACAGCTCTGGAAAAAATTAAGAGACCACTGCAAAATGATCAGTTTATCTGGTTTTACTATCTATAGGTTATGTGTTTGATGTGTTTGATTTTTTTATTCTACAAACGGTCTGACGAAAATGACGACTGGTCAAAATAATAAAAAAGATGCATTGTTTTCAGACCTCAAAAAATGCAGGAATAGTTAATATTTGGTGGAGTAACCCTGATTTTTAATAACAGCTTTCATGCATCTTGGCATGCTTTCCACCAGTCTTTCAAATTGCTGTTGATGT